TAGGAGTCAAGCTGCAGGTATAAAGCCCCCTGATACTCCTCAGGCTGCTCATATTACAATGCTCCTGGAGACTTCACCAATTCCAGCATAAGAGCTCTTGCAACTTTCATGGAAAACCTTTTTAACAGTCTCCTCCAAAAGTCTTGCTCACTGTTCCATTCTACTCATACCATGTAGCAACATTCTGGCAGAATAGGTGCTAGGAGTCAAGCTGCAGGTATAAAGCCCCCTGATACTCCTCAGGCTGCTCATATTACAATGCTCCTGGAGACTTCACCAATTCCAGCATAAGAGCTCTTGCAACTTTCATGGAAAACCTTTTTAACAGTCTCCTCCAAAAGTCTTGCTCACTGTTCCATTCTACTCATACCATGTAGCAACATTCTGGCAGAATAGGTGCATCTGGCAAGCTGGTAGATGTTCTACACATCCGATCCCTTTTTAGACAGAGTAACTCGCAGCAGTAGTTGCTGGCTGTTTGTTAACTTAGCAAGTACACAGATGACCATGGATACTAGTGACCAAGTAAAAATACTTGGGATTAAATTGCAATTCTGCTCTGAAAAGTGTCTGTAAAAATGGCACTGGAGGGTTCCATGTTTATTGTCTTACGAACATCTCCAGATAAAATATGTCGTTTGCAAATACAATGATGTATTTTCTAATGGCCAACCCTTCAAACTAAGGTTAGAGTCTGAGTTTCAAAACTGATTCTTTCCTTCTCCTGCACCATCACCAGTAATAAAGGTTCTCCAGGCTGGATTAGACACTTACTGACACTTGATCAATCTCTTGTCCTCAAGTTATGACCTCAGTGACACCTGTCTAAAATCATGAGTTGCAGGGATAAAAGTGGGAAACAAATCTGTGGTGCACAAGAAAGAAAACCCTAGCTCCGACTTTCTTAGCTGCTTGGCTCTGAAGGACTAAGGGGAATCAAAAAGAGCAGTGAACTTTTGTTGTTGCAGAAATAAGAAACTATTGCTCTGAATACACACAAGGAGCGATCTGTTCAGCAAGTGCCATTTTTACAGTCACTTTCCAGAGCAATTCTGCATGGCAAGGTTTGCACAGTGACTCTGCAGAGCTGTTTCAGACAGGCTGTGTGGTGGTGTTCCAAATACAAAATGGCTGAGCAACTAGGATACATTTATTTTATTTTGACACATTTATTTTAAACATGAAGAACAAGAGAATTTAGATGTGCCAGTGAATCAATGTACTAGCTTCTAATTACTGGATGACTGGGTATGGAGTTAACTAAGTCTGGGACTTACATAAAATTGTCAGATGCCTGCTTGGTCTTACTCTGGTTTCTTTTCATGACAAATCCAAATGGCACAGTTGTTATCTTAAGGCATTCATATGACAAAATCACCTAAGCTACGTCTAGACTGGCATGATTTTCCGCAAATGCTTTTAACAGAAGAGTTTTCCGTTACAAGCATTTGTGGAAAAGAGCGCCTAGATTGGCACGGATGCTTTTCCGCAAAAGCACTTTTTGCGGAAAAGCGTCCGTGCCAATCTAGATGTGCTTTTGCGCAAAAAAGCCCCACTCGCCATTTTCGCAATCGGGGCTTTTTTGCGCAAAACAAATCTGAGCTGTCTACACTGGCCCTTATGTACAAAAGCTTTGCTCAAAAGGGACTTTTGCCCGAATGGGAGCAGCATAGTATTTCCACAAGAAGCACTGATTTCTTACATGAGATCGTCAGTGTTCTTGCGGAAATTCAAGCGGCCAGTGTAGACAGCTGGCAAGTTTTTTCGGAAAAGCAGCTGCCCTACAGTTTTGCATAACATGGTGTGAGTGGTACTGTTTACAAAAGAGAGTCAAGCATAGAATGACATGCATCACCCCTATTTAGATGGAAGTGCATTGGCAGAACACAGTATAAGGAACATAACTAAGCCTGTTCTAATCAAGCACCACATTCACCAGTATTTATGAGGAGGGATGAAAACAAACCCAAAGAAAATGTGGAGTTTCTCTGTACCTGACTGGTCTTGTTGATGCAGCGGCGTATGATGTCTCTGATGTTGCTGTTCTTCTCTGTTTGGAAATACACGGTGGCACTGGATTTCTCCTTTAGATAGGGCATTTCTGCTGTACTCCATGTGTGAAGCAGGGCTGGATCTCTGTTTTCAGAGACCGTAGGGAAGTATGTTCCTGACTGGAGAGAGCCCGCTTCATTCTGCCTTGGTCCAGTCTCCTTCTCTGCCTGAGATTCGTCAGCATAAAAAGGCTCTCTGGCATTTTTCTTGATGTACAAAGCTTCCACCGAGGACAAAAAATCCACCTCTCCTTCTTCATTTAAGGCTCGGAGATAAGATTCAGTCCCACCATCCAAAAGAGCATCAGTGGCCAATCTTACACTTTCGTTGTGGCTGAAATCTGCTTTGGTTGGCCTGACTGTCTGATTCTTGATCTCCTCCAGCCGTTTCCTTATCTTGCCCACATGTCTAGATCGGCTCATTGCTCTTTGTATCAGCAGCTGAGTGATGCGTATGGTGAGCACTGGGCATATAGACTGTACAGAGGAGACCAACACAGCTCCCCTTGCATGTAAACAACCAGCAAATGAGCTTCCCACTTGTGGCCTCCGCTTTGTTGCAAAGTCCCTTTTGTCGAAGGGATCAATTGTTAACAAAATTAAAAACACATAAATGTCACTACCTAAGGCAAATTGGCACCACGAGCTCTCGTTGATTGTGTTGGTACAAGTATATCCAAAAACTGAAGCAGTCGGTTTGCAGATGTGCTTACACAAGGATTCTGCTCCAGATGGGACATAGATTTAAAACGAATTTGTTTGCCTGAGAGTCACATGCCTTGCCCTGAGGGCACAAGAAGGATTCAACCTCCCATTATCCAGTTCTGTCAGATTTAATCATAAGACTTCTTCTTGAAGTGTTCACTAAAGGGTGTGCGTGAAGATGGTACATTTCTAAGTGCTGTTGCACAACCTCCAAAACAGCTTGAGGCTTCTGAGGGTACCTACAGCATTTATCGTGGAGTCAAAGCAACTCAGATGTTAACTCAAAGTTCAAACAAAGATATCAGCCATTCCATAATTTCAAAACAGTTTAAAGTGGCACTGGCTGCACCAAGGTGCCACTATGATTATTAAAAAAAAAGTTTTAAAATGGACTAAACATGACAATTGTGCCCCATACATAAAGTCTGACCATTGCTTTAGGGATTCCAGTATTTATTTCTTTAAAGTTACTCACCATGGAATAAGATAGGTTTATTATAGGGAGGGAATGTTGTCAAACGACTCAGATAGGGATCAATGCCTCACAAGTGTTGCAAATTCTCACGATTTGGTCACAACGTATGATTTTTCTTAGCCCCCTCCCCCCAGCTCTTGGAGCCAACTGATTATACAAGAATCACTGCTTTAATTTTAAAAATAAAAGTCTACTGGTTGTGGAACAAACCTTAAAAACATGGTGCTAGTGCACCTGAAAGGCTGAGAAACCAAAAGGAAAATATAAAGAGCCCTGGATTTATTGTTTTTTTTAAGAATCACATGATTTGGGGCCTTGTCTCTCAATAGCTGAATGTGTGGGGTTACAAATAGTGGAGTCACAATGCCTGTGTTTGACTGCTGGTGCTGCCATGCACCTGCTGTGAAGTCTCTTGGGTAGGTACTTTTGAAATGAACATAAGAACGTAAGAATGGCTGTACTGGGTCAGCCCAAAGGTCCATCTAGCCCAGTAGCCTGTCTGCCGACAGTGGCCAATGCCAGGTGCCCCGGAGATGGACCAAAGACAATGATCAAGTGATTTGTCTCATGCCATCCATCTCCAGCCTCTGACAAACAGGCCAGCCTCTGACAAACCATTCCTACACCCTGGCTACTAGCCTTTTATGGACCTAACCTCCATGAGTGTATCTAGCTTCTCTTTAAACTCTATTATAGTCCTAGCCTTCACAGCCTCCTCTGGCAAGGAGTTCCACAGGTTGACTATGCACTGTGTGAAGACGAACTTTCGCTTATTAGTTTGAAGTGGGTGTGAGTGAGGCACCTAACTACCTTTGTGAAGATAATTCTTTATATCACTGTGCCTCAGGGAGCTCATGGACTCACCCAGGAGCCAACTGACAAGACTTCACGTCAGTGGTGCTGAAACACTTTCAATAGTGGGGGTGCTGACAGACAGCCCCCGCCCCCATCTGTAAATCCCAACCCAGGAGTAGGACCAGTCTTGGGAAGGGGAGACCCAGACAAAAGAAAGGAGGCCACAGCTGGGGCCATAGCTGGGGGCAAGTATAGGGTCTGGAGTGGAGCCCTGGGCAAAGGGTGGGACCAGCAGCCAGGACCCTGGGCACAGGGCTGGGAGCCCATGTGCAGGGCCGGGAGCCCATGTGCAGGGCCAGGAGTGGAGGCAAAGCTTGTGGCCAGCACCTGGGACTCCATGTGCAGAGCTGGGAGCGGAACCCCATGGAAAACCTGGGGGTGCTGCAACACACCCTGCACGCCTAGTCCCCACATCTGTGCATCACTTACTGTATCAATCCCTGTGTCTGCCAGTCACTCCCTGTGCGTGTCCCTTATGCAGTATAACTAACTTGCAAGATGGGACCTAACTTCCAGAAATACGGAGTTGGCAAAGGAGGTGCCAAGGGCTCTGGGGGTCTGGCTAGGGCTAGAGAAAATGACACCTGTGAAGTCACCATGAGTGTGGCTCACAGCACAAATATTTTCACCTCTGTGTCATCTACATATTATAGGTCCTAATATTTTCAATGCAAATGTACCTCCTGCTATTAGAATGGTGGCTGCCCTGTGAATTAATGTAAGTAATAATAAAATGAAGAAACTGTGCTTCTATAATATTGATAAATGAAACACTCTTACGAAGAAATAATAAAGATTTGAAAATTGATATAATTAAATGGGCAGGAAATGTCAACTCTAATGTTGTGAAGGAGAAGTGTAGTTGGAGTCTCTATTAAACTAATTTACTATGTGCTGGTCTGTAAGGAACAGATGATTATTTGACTTTATTAAACTGTAGTTTGCCCTGAACGCCAGCTGCAGCTCCATCAGAAGTGCCAAAAGGTAATTTATTCAGTGACCTGCTAAGTGCAAGTATGTGGATGGAAAATTATTTTGCATATTTAATTAGACATGTAAAACAGCTTCCTGTCGACATAAAGCATTCCAGTAACACTCTGAACTAGGCAGGAGCTTGTCCTAGCTTTGAAAAACAAACGCTCTTTCCGTTACCTTGTGCTTTTAGCGCCGGTGGTCGGGGTAGGGGAGCGGACAGATCGTGATGCGTTGCAACCATTTTTAGGGGCAGGCTGTGTGGGGCAGTGTGAAGTTGGACGGTTGCTCGTTCCAGCAGCACCACGAACCCGTGTGTTTCAGCAGGGTTAAACCGCGGCGCTTTTCCCGCTGAACGCTTGTTACAAACGCAAAAGGGTTTTGCGGCTCAGAACAATTGGGTGAACTTGGGGGGGGGGGGGTCAAATTCCGCTGAGTCAGACG